CGCCGCGGAACGGGGCCCATGAACCAATGCACGAGGAGACTGTGGCAGCCCAGATAGTTCGGAGTCGGGGTGCTCGGGAGCGTCCATAGCTCCACGGGGCGGATATCCGGCCGAAGCTTGGAGGCTTGGCCCTTGCCCGTCGCAGCTGTGTGGTCTCGACAGCCGTGGTCCCCATCAAGTTTGGTGAGGTTTTGCGTCATAAATGGAGCCCTGGGCTGAACCGGCGACAGCCACAAGGACCACCAGACGGGGCCTTGGATTACTCTGGATCTGGTTGTCGCTGCCGCTGCCTGACACACCCTGTGGTGGTGGACGGGCAGGTATGTGCATTGGATAACAGGGCTGATGGTCTTGGATTACACGTAGAGGAGGAATGAATGACGGGTCTCGCTTTGCCTTGTAGGAGGCCTCGTGGAATGCTTGGCTTGATTAAGTTGGGGGTCTCGTTTGTCTCGAAATGGCTGGCAATTCGGTACCTAGCATGGAGCGGAGGCGGGTCGACCGTGGCTGTTTGGCGCCGTCGCGTACCGCGTACGGGAGGATGGATCGAGGTGAGCGCCAGACACCAGAGCGGTAGGTCGACGGTGAGTGGCATTGCAGACTGCAGAAACAAGGCCGATCCTTCGTGATTCGGATGGACGTCGAGTTTGATGGTTTGTTTCATTTCGCTGCTCATCGGCATCAGCACCAGCCCATCCGCCACGCCGTATTGGGCTGCGTTGGGTCCAATTGAATTGGATGATTTCGGCTGAGCTCAGGAGTGATTGTCGGATGGATTTGATTTGGGTTGGAATTGGAACAGCACCGCGAGGCAGCAGTCAGCAATCAGCATTTTAGCCATCAGGGAATGGATGCATCGAGGTAAGGTAGGCGCCAATAGTCGTAGCGGCGAAGCTTGGATCGCCGGGGCATCGCCGGCGGCCCGTGCCCCTTGGGAAGGTGACGGGAAGGTACCTGCTGTACGCGGTTCAACTTGCGCCTTCCCAAGGTTTCGTGTCCGATACGTCGGATTACCTCAGCTTTCTTTTGGATACCTACCTTACCTAGGTAGGTAGGCAGTGTTTGTGTGCAACCCCCACCAGTCTGTCTCAACTCTCAAAAGGATGCTGCTGATTGACCACCGCCGCGCCACGTCGTTTACATTGGGTTGCTGTTCGTCGCCCTGCGCTGCCCCGGGCAAACTTTGGGGCAACACCCGCAGATCAGAGGGAACGCGCACAAGGAACGTCAGGGAGCAGCAGGATGAGTCCACAAAGCTGCTCACGGGTCTGTACCGGGCGAGTTGGCAGAGAGCTGAGCCAGGATGGGGTGTTTTGATGACGAGGCCCGCCCGTGCCAAGATGGGAACCAATTGGCAGGACCAGACGTCGCATTTTATTCTCGACTGTCTGACTGGTCCCTGATGTGCTTAAGGGTGAGGTGAGGTGAGGTTCAGATGGCACGAGCCGCCTCTCTCGGCCCTTGCTGTTGTGAGATACCAGCTGTCCGCCTAGAGATCGACCAAGACTCTTGGGAGAAGGCTTGGAAGCATCCAAAGCCATCCGCGAGGGCTTGGCGAAAGGAGCCTCCAGTCGCAGTCCACCACCACATCCAGACCTCAGGGTGTGGCATGTGGACGCTCCCTTGCTCAGTGGTACGGATAGGGCAGAGACGGATGCACGGCAAGCAGATGGGGAAGGCGTCTGTGGGATAAATATGTTGTGCGGCGCTGCAGGTGCAGTTGCAGCCGACGAGGGGCGTCGCCGGGGGACTGGATTCGTGGAGATGGGGGGGAGAAGAGGGGGGGAAGCCAAGTCCTCCTCCGGGCCATGCCTCTTTTGAAATTGAGGGACTAAAGCCACAAGTAGGACGAAATTTGAACATGGAGAGAGAGAGGCCGAGGAGGGCGGGACTTTTGCGAGAATCCCCGTTACCGGGAGGCAGAGAGAGAGAGAGAGACGAATGAATATCGCCGGGTGGTTGAGTGATTTGATGAACGCATGTGAGGTTTGGATGCTGACCATCCGGCCATGTTGGAAAGATGCAAGGGAGAATCGGGTGACAGCCGTTGATGGGGCGGGAACTCAGGGGATGGACGGCAATATGAGCGATCCATGTGAAGAACAGGCGAAGATGAGGGGGAGCTGGGCTCTCAACCAGGTCTGCGACATCTGGACATGGGCTCTGACCCGGTCCTTGATCGAGGCCATTGACCTGTCTTGGTGCCGCCTGAAGACATGTGGATCAAGAAGTCGAGGACCCCCATCGAGATTCGGACAGTATTGACGCGGGATTCGGGGGTTAGTAAATGGTTGAAGCGATGCCAGGCCCCGGCCTCGAGTGGTCAAGAACTATCTTTGTTGGGGGCACCGGGCCGACTAACTCGACTAAGGAGGTATTTTGTACAAAGTATTTCGAGATGCGCGATAACACGTCGAGAGATGAGCCACCAACCGGGAAGAGCCAACCAACGGAGGGGACTGGCACGCGACCGAGAAGCGGGACGGCTACGGATACAGGGAAGAGCCCAAGAGGAAGGTCGACGAACGCGAGGGAAGAGTTGAAAAGGCAGAGAGGCACGAGGAAATAGCGAAGGATTTCGGAAGGGGAATGGAAGCGTCGACGGGGCGTGATGGGGGCACAGGACGGGGCTGAACAGGGAGCAGCATCTAATTAAGGACACGGTTTAATAGGACGGACAAATAAGCAGCTGGTCGATGGTCAGGACGGGCAGCCGAGGGCGGGCAGGGAGGTGCGGGTTGCGGTACTTTGATGCGCGTTTGAACAAGCAGCGGCGACAGACTTTGATCGGGCTTTTGCACGAGTCCGAGCAGCCATCTTTGCTCGATGTTAGTTAGGTGCTCATAGACATACAAGGACATGCTGGTAGACAGAGAGAACAGAATGGCGGTGGGAGATGCAATGCATGCAAATGCAGCTGAGAAACAAGACACTGATACTGATGCGCGTACAGACAGAAGACACCGACAGCAACACCACCCAACTGGCCAGGCCACAGATGCTGATGCAGTGAGTGAGTGGGTGGTGGTGCAAGTGTGAGAGACAAATTGAGGGTGCCTGGTCGAGGGACTCAAAGCAGCATTCTGCCGCGGTTTCTGGTTTCTGTTTCCAGCCGTTTCCAGCTTTCCTCGGGCTTCAGCTTCAGCTTCAGCTCCAGCTGCCTTCCCTGCTGCCCACTGCTCCCAAAACCTGGCGAATCCACCGCACGGCACCGCTGGGGATCGCAATCCGAAGCACCCGCGCGCAACCGCGACACTAACGGCCACCCGACCGGCAGACCATACGCATCTGGGACGAATACGCAGTAGGTCTGCCCGAATACTTCAGACGACCAGCTGCTATCCGTGAGGTACCTCGCTTTGCCGCCAAAAGCACACCAAACCACAAGTTCCCATGTACAGCTACCACTACCACCTCAAGTTAGAAACAGAATACCCGCGGTGGTGGCTTCAACACACGCATCAGATATGTCCATTACTGTGTAAATCCAGACACCACAACACGCTATTTGCAGGTGTCTGAACAAAGTACCTTGCTCTCCTTTGGCTGGCGGGATTTTCTGTCCATTGCTTGCCTGCCTGCCTGCCTGCTTGCTGTGCTTGCTTGCTCGCTCTCTGTGCCGGGGCGAGGCGGTCTGCGACACTGACGGCGTGCCATCTCTTATCCCACCCGCTGCTACTGCTGCTCCTGCTGCCACTGCTACTGCTGCAGCCATTCCCATTCCCCTCCGCTGCAAGCTCCATTCTCAGTCTTCCTTGCCATCTCTCTCACCCGAGTCCCGATCTTTCCCTGGGCTGTCTGTCTCACGCGTCTTCCACTCCTTTTTGCTTCTTGTTCACATTATCCGTACTACTCTTAGTTTGCTCCTACATTCCAACCGAGCATGGCGGTGGTGCCAAGTTGACGTGCATCCAAGCCACATAATTAATCCGTACGCCTGCTCACCTCTTGTTGTCGTTCTCGGCCCTCTTATTACTCGGACAGCATCTCCCAGGGGCCTCTCGGAGCTTTGCCACCTCTCTCTGTTTCTTCAATTCCTCCCCTTTTCCCTATCGAATATCCCTTTTGACTGCCTGGACTCTGTCACTGCCACTACGACTTCTCAGAGACGTTGGTGTTGCAGCATTCGAGATCCAATCCTATCCCGTACTCCCTACGGATACCCTTCTCCAACCGAGTCGAGTCGAGTCGAGTCGCCGTAATTTGCACGAGTACTTGTTCCATCCGCTAGACCCCCCGGACATCTTACACCCGCCGTCACGACCGTTTCGCGTTCCTGTCGTTCGCCGTCGCCAATCCGCCCAGAAGACCAACGAGCTATTCGATCTTGACTGGAAGACAGGCCTGCATTGGTGGAAGAGGACGAATCGTGTTGAGACGGAGCATCGCAGTCGCGGAGACATATCCTGATCAGCAACCAACAACGAGACAGTACTTCGGAAACCCTGTCTTGTGCAGCTGGCTAGCAACCTTCTGGCTGTCTGCTCTGCATTGTCCCTTGCGGAATACAGCCACGTTCCATCGCCTCAGCTCCAACGCGCGCGCGCCTGTTTGCTGGTGATTTGCCGTACACCACCACACCATCACCGACGTACAGCTAGCTACAGCCTCCAGGTTACAGCTGCCCTGCCCTGCCCTGCTCTGCCTAGGCGAAAAGGAGGCATTCAGGCAGACGTCAACAACAGCTGCTAGAGACCCACGTCGGAGGGTTGTCCTGTCGGATTGTGACAATTGGATGCTAGGCGCTGGAGCCAAAATACGCAAGGTACCGCAAGTACCTCTTTTTGGCTTCCTAATTGCGTACCTAGGCTTCCCAGCTTCGGTTCCCAGCGCGCTCCGCATTGTATCTCCTACGTCACCCCGCCCCCCAAACTGGCCGCCGCCCTACCTGTGAGTGGTGTCTGGACCGTCACCGTCACACGTCGTGTGCTGCGCCCTCAAACGCTCTGCTTGGCAACCGCAACTCTTTTTAGGGGCCGCTCCCCGACCCGTCGCCCGCCATGGTCCGCATCATCCCTGGACGACTCAAGTCCAGCTCTTCCCTCCGCCATAGCCGCAGTAGTAGCCCAACTCGTAACAACAGCAATAGCAGCACCAGCAGTAACGGCAAGATGGGAGAATTGAGCCCAAAAGACAATGGCTTGACCTTGAAGGTCGTCATTATGAAGGTAGGCAATCCACCACTGCTGCCCCGCCATCCCATCGCCTTCAGCCCGCTTGCGCACCCGGTGCCGCGGTTCTGTCAAACTAAGCAGCGCCCAAATGCTAATGATTGATCGCATTCCAGGCCCGAAATCTCGCTGCCAAGGACAGAAGCGGCACATCCGATCCGGTACGATCCCTCAATTGCCGTCCTGTGCCTTCTGAAGCAACTCCTCTAACATGTCTGCCTGCAGTTTCTCGTTGTCACCCTCGGTGACGCCAAAGTCACGACACACGAAGTTCCCAAGACGCTGAACCCGGAGTGGAACGTCATCGAAGAGCTGCCCGTAAACACGACCCAGAGCCTCATCCTCGACGTAATATGCTGGGACAAGGATCGCTTTGGCAAGGACTACCTGGGCGAATTCGACCTCGCTCTGGAGGAGATCTTTGCCGATGAGCAGAACGAGCAGCCCCCGAGATGGTACCCTCTGAAGAGCAAGAAGCCCGGCAAGAAGACGAGCGTTGTGTCTGGTGAGGTCATGTTGCAGTTTACCCTTTTCGACCAGTCCAACACCGCCGCAACCCGCGAGCAAGTCTTCGAGAAGTTTTACTCCCTCGTCAGCCAAGTGCCCGCTGGTTCTAGACAAATTACGCCCACCATGACGCCACTGATTCAGCCTATCAAGAACATGCGCGTGCGCAGCGGCACCACACCCTCGCCCCCGTTATCGCGAAATGCCACCGACGACCAGGAAGAGGATGACGACGATGATCTCGATATCGAAGATGATACCCCCGAAGACGAAGATCCGAGCAAGCCTGAGGCCGCTGAGAAGCGCAAGCGCCGCCTCAGGATCAAGGGACTGAAGAAGAAGAGAAGAGACCACGCGTACGAATTCAATAACAGTGGAAGTGACGTAGTGGGCATAATCTACCTCGAAGTCCTGAACATCACCGATCTCCCTCCCGAGCCCAACTCCACGCGAACCACATTCGATATGGACCCGTTCGTTGTCGCGTCTCTCGGCAAGAAGACATACCGAACAAAACGAGTGCGACACAACCTGAACCCCGTCTTCAACGAAAAGATGATTTTCCAAGTCCAAGGCCACGAGCAGCAATACTCATTCGCCTTCACTGTTATGGATCACGACAAGTACTCCGGAAATGACTTCATCGCCGACTGCAACTTGGCCGTCAGAGAGCTGATCGACAAGGCCCCGAAAGCTGACCCGGAGACTGGCCTCTATGACGTACCCGAGCCTGCCGAGTTCGTAGCCCCGCAGCAGCGCCGCTTCAAAAAGCTCGCAATGTCGCGCACATCTTCGTCTCAGAGCCTGAGCAAGGTGGTACGGCCGTCCCTGTCCAAGAACCCTAGTAGCACTTCCGGCGCGCCTGGAGGAAGCCAGTCTGGAACTGCGACGCCTACGCCTGCCACTCAGCCTGGAGGTCTGAACCCCGAGTTCCTGTCGCCCGAACAAGCTCTCGCTGGCGCTGGAGCCCAGACTGCGGAAGCGCAGCAGTCTGAAGAAGTAGACTTCCATGACTTCAGCATTCCCTTGAAGATGAAGGACGCCAAGAAGTGGGAAGACAAGCACAACCCAGTCCTATACATCCGCGCGAAGTACGTTCCCTACCCTGCTCTTCGTCAGCAGTTCTGGCGATCCATGCTCAAGCAGTACGACACGGACGAGAGTGGCCGCATCAGCAAGATCGAGTTGACGACAATGCTCGACACTCTGGGTTCCACGCTGCATGAGTCGACAATCGATGGCTTCTTCAAGCGCTTTCCCCACAGGGAAGAAGGCGACGAGGTCGGAGATCTGACGATGGATGAGGCCGTGCTATGCTTGGAGGACCAATTGGAGGCCAAGAGCAAGCCTGTCACTGTGACGCAGAAGATGAAGGGCATGCTGCCAGATGCCGACAAGGTCAAAAATCTTCTGTCAGGGCCAGGACACGCCCAGCCTGGTCTTTCGACAGAGGCTTCAAGTTCCTCCGATGGTACTCTCAACGTGCCGGAACTGAGCACTCCGGGCGAGGAGGGTGACCTCCTTGACAAGGACGACCTGGCTGAGGATCGATCTGGCGAAGAGCATGTGGTCGAGATCAGAGAATGTCCAATCTGCCACCAGCCGCGCTTGAATAAGCGCAAGGATACCGACATCATCACGCACATTGCCACATGCGCCAGCCAGGATTGGCGACAGGTGAACAACCTCGTCATGGGCGGTTTCGTCACCGCCAGCCAGGCCCAACGCAAGTGGTACTCCAAGGTTATCACCAAGATCTCTTACGGCGGATACAAGCTTGGAGCCAACTCGGCAAACATCTTGGTCCAGGACCGCATCACGGGCCAGATCAACGAGGAGAAGATGAGCGTTTACGTGAGACTTGGAATCCGTCTCCTGTACAAAGGACTCAAGTCTAGTAACATGGAAACCAAGAGGAGTAAGCAGGGCCCCATTGCCCTACCCGGATATTCTGCTAACGTCACCGTAGTTCGTAAGATGCTTAAGAGCATGAGTATCAAGCAAGGCAAGAAGTTTGACGATCCGGCCTCCAAGGCTGAGATTCCCAAGTTCATCGAATTCCACCGTCTCGACATGTCGGAGGTTCTTCTGCCGCTGGAAGAGTTCAAGAACTTTAACGAGTTCTTTTACCGAGCTCTGAAGCCCGATGCTCGCCCATGCTCTGGTGCCGAGCGTCCGGATGTCACCGTTTCTCCCGCCGACTGTCGCAGCGTCGTGTTCAATAGTGTGAACCAGGCCACCAACGTTTGGATCAAGGGTCGCGAGTTCTCGATCAAACGCCTTCTCGGCGACGCCTACCCTGAGGATGTCAAGCGCTTCGAGAACGGTGCACTCGGCATTTTCCGACTGGCGCCGCAAGATTACCACCGTTTCCACATTCCTGTTGACGGTATCTTGGACAAGCCGAAGACCATTGCCGGAGAATACTACACTGTCAACCCGATGGCTATCCGCTCAGCCCTCGACGTGTACGGAGAGAACGTCAGAGTTCTTTGCCCGATCGACAGTCCTGTGCACGGCCGTGTGATGGTCATTTGTGTCGGCGCCATGATGGTTGGCAGCACCGTCATTACCCGCAAGGAGGGCGAGCAGGTAAAGCGAGCTGAGGAACTTGGCTACTTCAAGTTTGGCGGTAGCACTATCGTATTGTTGTTCGAGCCCGGCAAGATGGTCTTTGATGATGACCTGGTGGACAACTCGAACACCGCCCTTGAGACTTTGGTAAGTTGGCGGGATGGTATCTACTTGTGAAAGTTTGACTGACAGCATTTCTAGGTTCGCGCTGGCATGTCTGTGGGACACGCGCCTGGCACACCGCAATGGGCGCCGGACATGCGCAAAGACGAGAAGGACATCACCGAGGCGGACAAGAAGGACGCCAAACGACGCATCGGTGGCAGCCTTACCGGAGAGGAGTCTTCAAGTGGCGACGAAACTCCTGGCAACGGCACCGACATCAACACGCATGCTGCGTCCGCCATGTAACGCGTCCGTTTCCTCGACCGTGCCGAACTTGCATAGGCCCCATTGGGCAGGATAGACGGATACAACAACAGCTAGATAACAAAAACTCGGTGTTTGGGGGTTTGATGGTTTCTCAGCCATCGCGTTACCCGCGATGGGTCTTTATTTCTTTCATCTTCACACGACGCCGGTGGCCTTCAACAGACACGCACATCATCGACAAAATACGACAGAGAAGCATAGCGACAGTATGGACCATTGTATAGGGCACGAGACGTGGGAGGTGTTTGTTGGGCCCCGAGAAATCAGGGGCAAGAGCTCTAAGCGTACAGAAAACAGGGGAGACGGAGAGTGGTGCGGGGAGGGCCTTGCTTGGCGAGGCGGGGGATCAGCAATGTAGCTCGCTCGCTTGGAATGAATGCAGCAACATGTTAGTTTTCTGGTAAAGAAAAGGGCCCTAGTAGCTCTTGAGTCTTGGTGTGATGGTGACTTGCGTGTGCCCAATGGTTTGACGCGACCTGATTGAAAGAGGAAGGACAGCTGCAGCGAGGCTCTAGATGGGCTCATGTTCCCACTCGGTTAGGTGGGAAGATGTGATTGTGACAAGTGGTTGCATTTGAGGGGTCGGCCAAGTCGAGCCATGTGTCGTTATACCCGATTTGCGCATTCTCAGCTGAGATGCATTAACGCAGAAGCATCCTCACATTGCATTACTGGCAATTCATCTCGAATCGAGGGTCTCGGTGATCAGGGAGGGCTCAGAGATCAATCAACCCGCAAAAGGGGCACGTAAGAGGACAGGACTACGCGGTACAGTTGCTTCGAAATTCTATTCTTGGGTCCACTTCAGCGAGCAAAGAAGAATGAACCGATTAGGTCTCGAGACGCCCAAGGAGGATGCTGGTTTGGAGTGCATGGCGAGGTTGCCGCGAGCCGACATGGGGATGCTTGGCTGGGCGGAGAGATGCGACATCAGAGTCTGGTGAGTCTGGTGTGCGCAGGTTGGACGGAGACGGACGAATTTGGGTGTGGACGGCGTGGACGGTGATGGCGAGGGTGGTGCAGGTGGAGGGGTCGGAGGGAATGGGGCCGGCGGGATGCACTTTCTCTCGTCTCATTCTCCTGTGTGCCGCGAAGTTTTTGCTCTTATCTTTTGAGAATTCTAACTGGGTTACTTTGAGAAAAAGGCAGAAAAAAATCTGAACGGGTCACTTTTATGTTCAACCAGCTCCTCATTCATGGCTACACTGAACCCTAAAAAATTCTAGAAAAGTTCCCCCTTTCGCCCTTTCGGGATCCCGTGTCAGGGGGTTTAATGGCATTTCCCGTCGTGAGCTGGGATACTCCCTCCCCACGTCTTCCGGACTTGGACGGCGGGGCGGGGGACCTAAAGGGGGTGGATGAAGGGATCCATCGGAGCACGGCGGCGGTGACGGAGAGGGCGACGGCGATGGCGACCGGGAAGGTGGATGGATGTCTCTGCGGCTGTGTGCATGCGGCATTTCGCAGCTCTGCTCAGGAAGCCTTGCTTCAAGGGTGGACGTGATGGGACCTGTTGCGCCAGTGTGGTGTTCAATCTGGGAGGAAGTTGCTTCTCATATGTGACGATCTTGCGTCACAGGTGGAGCTGATGAACAGCTTCCTGGATGTTTGGCTACGAGTCGAGAAGAAGAGTCGGTGGACTTGATGGAGAAACTTGGCACTTATGGACCATTCACATGCGGACAGCATTCACGGCAGAGGAAACGGTAAATGGGGATTTGCTTTTTGAACATGAAAAAATCGTGTTGGGTATCCTATTCGTAGAGCGCCCTTGCTTAAATCTGCCAAAGGGAAAAATTGAAGAAAAGAAAAAAAATATATATATATATATATATATATATATATTTTACAATAAAAGTAGGTTCAACAAGCAAAAAGGATGATTCGATGGGCAGCAGTGGCTTCAGACGATGTCGTAGCTCTGCATGCCCCTCGAACGATTCACCCCCGCCAATGATACAATGGGAGGGGCAACCAGCAGCATCCCCTGCGTAAGGTCGGTTGTAAGTGAGAAGGAAAAGTGGATTTGATGCGATGATCATGCTTCGACCCTCATGGCGTGCTAAGGCCGCTCGCTGCCGTTCGATCCCCAAAAAGATTCCTCCCGTTTGCTTTCCGGAAGACCGATGATGATTTTTTGATCTGAGTTGTGAATTTGTTGCGCCGCAACTCCGGTGACCTTCATTTCCTGTGTGCTCCTCCCTCCAATGCGGCTCAGGTCGTTGGGTGATTTTGTGGTTGTGTAACGTCGTTGCTGATCACGAGCGGGATGTGACTGAAACGGCGCGTGGCGGCTGGTCGCGTGACGGGTTGTGAAGTGTGTTGGGGTGAAGATGGTAACTCCATGCGCCGTGCCTAGTCCGATGCGTAAAGCCGTAAATGCGTATTGGTGATTTCGTAGTGCCCATTGCCGAATTCCGTTGTCGTACGACGCTGGTTGCAGTGACACGAGCGTGTGTTGTGGTAGTTTGTATGTGTGTAGTTGATGAGGGTGACCTTGGCATGTCCGCCTGTGACGAGACGGAGCTCCCCTCAGCGCTGAAGAGCCGCATAGCTCATCTACTTGGGGCCACGCCACGAGGAGTTCGAGGGAGATCTTGACATGGGCACGCCAGCGTCGCTGCGGTCGCTGTCCATGGAGCGCTTCTCCGGGGACGGGCTGCGGGGGAAGTAGGAGGTCATGTTGGGTGCCTGAACGCCGGGAGAGGGCATGTTGGAAGGCGAAGGACGGGTTTCGCGCCAGGAGGCGTAGATCTGCTTGCACAGGTGTGCGGACATGGTGTAGGTGGGCGACATTGTGAAGGTGTGGTTTGTAGTAGAGTTTTCGGGGTTGCGTTTGGTGGTTGTAGAACAGGCTCTCAGAGATGGACGAGAGAGGCCAGTCAGTCGTAGTCGTGGCTTTGTATAAGAGAGTCGAGTGAGGCTGAGCTTCAGAAGCAAGGTGGGATGAGCTTGGTTGTGGAGTATTAAACACGCGTCTTTGGGAGCAGTCGTGTTAATGGGCTGTTTGTCTTTGAGACGAGAGTGATATTATTAGAATCCTTGGAGGTTCGAATGGGAAACTGAACGATGGCAGTCGAGTTATGAGGGGGGCAGACGTGCTGGTTATATTTGGGGGAGAAGACAATAAGGCCAGGCAACCAGACGAACAATACCAGGGGTATTTTTTTGCTGGTTCCCCCCCTTCGAGCACCCCCGGCCAGATCTACAGATACATTGGTACAACAGTGGCTGCACAGCTGTCAAATCGACCCAAATCAATGGTCGGGGGACCACGAAACATGCGAAAATGGCGTCAAAAGAGCTGGAAAACGGACGAGGTGCGGCATGGGGGAGATTGGGGCGGGCGTGCGTGTGTGACTCGCTCACTGTGCAGGCGTGTGAGCACCTCACGCCGTTCGGCTGGCCGCACCTCCGCCCCATCACATCTCCGCAGCCGGGAGGAGCCACGCCACAGGCCAGATACGCCAATGAGAAGGCCCAGAGAGCAAGATTGATGGCTGCTGGCAAATAGGGGCTCCCCCAAAGTAAGCAACGCAGAGGGAGGAAGGTGGGAGTGAAAACGTGCGATTTGAGGCCTGTGGCTGTGCTGAATGGCACCACGGACGGGTGGGCGTGGTGGTCCGGAAGGGTCTTCTCTGGGCTGACACTGTGAACACCATTTTCCATCAGATTGACGCTCACCTTTTTTTTTTTTGGCGCGCGCGGGCGCCCACCCTCCACTTGCCCAGGCCCGGTGGACGCAGTTTGACAGCCAAGGTGGTGTTGTGCCCCAATCTAGATTGACAAGAGCTTCGCCGTTGATTAGTCCTGGTTGGCTGCCCGTTCGTTTACGGCGGGGAGTTCGCGTTGGGGGTGGGCATGGAATGTTTGTTAGCTGTTCCGGAGACGACGATGCCGTCGTATCTCACCAGATTGAGGGCCTGTTCAACTGCTCATGGCGGGTTTGCTCTCTCGCGATTATACGCAATACCTTGCATGGCTGCAAGCAGAGCAATATCATAGTCCCCCCAAAATCTGCACACAGCGCGGCTGAGTTGACTGAGACGAGAGGGGCTGGCTGAACGAGATACGTCACTGCTTGCGTGCTTTGGACGGAGAATGAGGAAGCTGGACTGGGCTGTTGGGGTGCATCCACCAGCCACAACGTGTGATCTTCAGGGCCTTGTCGGCTCGTGGGCCAGGGTCGGAATCAAGACCAAGGCAACTTCTCCCAGATTCCCAACTCGTCCAAGGCCAAGTTCCTCTTGGGCAGGCTCCGCTTCGGGTCGGAGCCCCATCCGAAGCTGGCCCGACATCGACTCCCGAACGATTCTGAGGGAGAGGAGGAGCTGCCAACGGCGCCATCTGTACGCATGTCTCTGTTGCTGCTGCACATGAGCTCCGACAGGGGCCAGTGACTACCGTTCGGCACAGCTCAGAGGAGGACAAAATCGCCGTGGAGCTCCACGTTCCGAGCCGTGGGGAACCGATGATGCGGATGGTGGTTCGACAAGATGACGCTGGCCTTCCAACTTGCTTGTCTTCACGTCTGCATTGTGCACGCATGCTGCCGGTGCCGTTTGGAGCTGCCGACGGTCCCCTCATTCCCTCGTAAACCCCCCGAGACTGGGCACGCGGGGTCGCAACGATACCAGATTTACGACAGATTGTCAAATGGCCATCTGCCTGTCTCTCGGTCTTCGGCTCTTACGGAAGGCTTAACCGCGTGATTGGGCTGTCTGGGGTACTGATGCAGTAAGGCTTCTGCGGTGGACTCTATGTGGATTTCTTGTCGTTGTTGGTTCGTACCGAGAGTTCCAGGCCTGTCGTGTGCCCAAGGCTGATGATAAATGATGACTGTTGGCCGGGGACTCGATCGTAAACTCCGCTGGCTGACGATGCTGCCTGGAAGAAGGATGAGTCTTGGAAGTGTCAGCAGGGGCTTTGTCATCCAAATTCAGCTGGACGGAAGTAGCCGCAATAAGCTGATCTTTCCC